GCTAATAGCCTTTGCAGAAAATATAACAGATATATTAGAAGAACTAACATGATATGCAACAGGGAGCTGTTCTGAGGCCAATGTGAGATATTGAAAAGGAATAAAAACTGGCACAGTTTCCTGATAAAAACTTTATTGCCCCCAATAACTGCGCAGGTCATAATTCTTTTTCATTACTTATATATGGCTAGCCAAATTATGGAATTAACTTTCCAATGCTTTGATAATTTCCCTTATTTGCCTCAGGGAGTTTGAGGTTTGGCCAGTTTGTCTTGTTTCACAAAGTACACGGGCCTTCATTTTATTTTCCCTTTCTCATTTCTTCTGATAGACTTTAGGATAAGACAAAATGACTAAAGCAGCATATTGGATATTTGGTTACTATATCCCAAAAGGGTGTACTTTAGTGATAAGTTTTCAATGAAATATACTTCAAGGCTGTTTTTGACATGGGCTCTGCTCAGCCATCTTTCTTGTATAAATTCCAAGAACAATCAATCATACTGAGGTTTTTCTGCAAATATTAATATTGTTGGACTTGGAAGATAATATGGATTAAAAAGTACAGGTTGGACATCTTATCTTTTGGCAAAGAAAACGTATCAAAGCTTAACATCGGTTACTCCAAGAGTAAGGACTCCTTTTTCCCCACCAAGAAGTGGATTGTAAATCATCTAAAACCAGCTTTCTAAACATAGTATTGCAACAAATTTCTCAGTGTCTGCTTAATAAGGATTATTAGAAAGAACAATTACAAATAAAACTAAACTAAATTTTAGTGAGTTTAATGAGTTGTTATGTGAAACAAATCTTTTACATTGTAATTAGGGATATTATAATCTTAAAGTTTATTATACATATCACACTATTTCAATTAAAAACAAAACTGAATTTTAATAACTTCTCATGGGAGGATCTGAGCTTAACTGTCTTCTATCTGGTAGTGGGGAGGATAGTAAACCAAGCATAGCTTGAAAAGGATGAGATTATGGAAAATCACATTTCATTCTGCTTCTTACAGATAAATGAAGGACTCAGAGGTTTTCCATACTCCAAACTGTCTACGCTGTGCTTTGAAAGGTGGAGTCTGATGATTAAAATTTTTAACTCTGAAGACATGATTTTTTTTTTTTGGTTGAACACAAAATATTGATTACCCAATTATTTTTCCTTGTTTTTATTTGTTTACATAGCCAAAACTCAGGTAGCCCAACCCTGAAATATTTCACATTTTATTATTTATTTACTATACTTTATTAGTTGAATTCTTAAAATATCTTTTGAATATGTACACATATATAAGATTGTATGTAAATATTGCTCTACTATGCTATTTCTAGATTATAGTAATGATGGGAAAATAGTGTTATTACTGATAGGGAACATATAATTTAAACCATAATATAACTTTCTATTTTGAAAATTTTAAACATACAAAAGAGTTGAAAGAATACTATGAGTAAAACTCATGCTTTCCTGTTAGGTTCAGTAATTGTTATCATTTTATAATATTGGCTTTGTTTATCCATCCTTGGCCCATCTCTTTCTCTACACACACACTTTTTCCTTGAATAATTTGAATTTAAGTTGCAGACATCATGAAACTTTACGTCTAAATACTTCACCATAAATATTAAAAGTATAAGGGAATTCTTTAACTATAATATTATTACCAAGAGAAAAAAAATTTAAAAGTGTGTCATTATAAAATATCAGTCCATATTCATATGTCTGAATTGTCCGTCAAATGACTAACTTTATAAAGACACAATTAAAACTTTCTCATTAGATTAAGTTGCTATATCCCTTTAGGTTATTTTAATCTCAAATGGTTTCCTTCTTCCATGACACCTCATTTTTCAAGAATTCAAGAATATACTCTAGGTTCCTAGAAAGATGGTAGAGTAGATAAGCACTATGTCTACGCCCTTCCATGAACACATTAAAATGAAAACTAAATTACAGAATAACCAACCTGGAGAACCATCTGAAGTCTAGTGAAACAGAAGTCCTATAACTAAAAATACACAGAAGAAGCCACGTCCAGACTGGTACAAGAGCCGGAGATGTGAATGGACCCTAAACCTCTGTGTGGCAGTTAAGAATCAGGAGGGCTATCTTGGCCGTGGAGGTTCTGTTGTTGGAGAGCGGGTCCTTCTCGGTGCAAAGTCCAGGTCCTTGGCAACTCGAGCAAAGAATTGAATGAGATGCTGGAGTAAAGTAACTGAAAAAGTAGTTTATTCGAAGAGATAGTACATTTCTAACAGTTTGGAGCGGGCCACGCACAAAGGCAAGGCTCAAAAGGCTCAAAAAAGGGAGGAAGGGGTTCAAAAAGGGAAGAAGCGGTCAAAAAGAGCAGGCCAGACTTCCCAGGACTTGGAGTTTTTATCCCTTTTTCTCTAGAATAGGCTGTTCCCCTTTGGGTGTGGGGCCACTTGATTGGCACCCATAATTGACAAGAGATACTGTGCAGGTGCGAGTGATTGGTTTGATCTAATTGGGTATTTTGTACCCATTTGTTTTAGGGGTAGATAGTTACAATGAAAAGAAGTTTTGGGCGGAGAGGGGAGGTCACCCAGGCAGTCACATCCTGTGGGACGTGCAAGAATGCAGAGACCCAATGCCTGCCTCTAACTGCCTGCCTTGTTTTTCCTTTGAGAGGCGTGATCCCCATTAAATCTCTATGGGAAGCTGAGGGACAGGAGGTCTCTTTTTCTGTATCTGCTTCCTGCTGGGCAGGGGCATAGAGCTGTCCCTGCCTATTGGGGGATTCATGGAACTCTCACCCTAGCTGATCTCAGATGAGAGGAAGGGGTCTCGAGCTCTGCCTGGAAGACCGTGTAGGCTTCTTTGGTTGTGACTGGCCATCTTGCTGGGGTGTCATCTGTATCCCTAAGGTCCTTGAATGAGGAAAAATAGATTTTAATTAATAAGTCTGTTAGCTCTACAATGTAATGTTTAGGATTCAGAAACTGGTTAGAAAAGTAATCAAAGCCAAGAACCTAGGAACTAAGAAACTAGGGAGGAGACTTAACATTTCTATAGGAAAGAAAACTTAAAAGTTTCTTAGTAGTGTGTGTGGGGGGGTGCTACTCAGTTGGCCAGTAACGTTCCTCCTGGAAGAGTGAGGTTCCCCAGCCCGGAGTACTGGTGCCAGGAAGAGGAGCCCTTGCAAGATCTGACTGTGAAAAACAGTGGGTATTCCGGCTATTCAGATGGAAAGCTGCAGGAAACTCAGCCGTCCTCTTAAATAGCCCGCACACAGACTCACTCACTTGCAGGCACTTACCTTGGGCTCTGGTGGAGTGAGACGGTGACTCAGGGGGCCTCAGAGACATACAGAGAAACACACTAAGGTGAGTGGCTTCTGAGGGGAGGACTGGAGAGGATCGTAGACATTTTATCGGTGAAGAATCCTCCTTCTGTGCAGCTGGCAAGTGGGAGCCATTTTGCCTGTGTTGGGCCCACCCCGCACAGGTTAAATCTGAATCTGATTGGCCTGATGAGCTCCATTGCGTGGCCCAGCTGACTCGGCTACGACTCCACCCCACCCAAATCTCTTAAAAGTTTCTTAGAACCCTAGATGCCACTACATATTTTTGTATATATTTTGTGAAGTAATTCATTTATTCCTTCTTAACAATATAATCTGTTGGCTATATTGCTTATTAAATTATTTTTCAGTTCTATTGACTTTCAGATGCTGAGAACATGAATCAATTACAAGCTTAACTGCATGATCCCATTACAAATCACTATAGTAGACACCTGCACACAAGCTGGCCTATAATAATAGAATGAGAGTCAGGGTCTGTAGAAAACCCCAGCTTAAATTTTTCCCAGACTGGCCAAGCAGAACATGAAGCACATCGTATGTATCTCATAGTTGCCCAAATTTCTGATTCAGAAGTAAATCTGACTAAGGAATTTTCTCAGTATTCCCACAGGAGGCTGGCAACCCTCTCAGTAAAAATGTAATAAAAGTGACTTTCACCACAGCTAAACGACAGTCTTGCAAGGACGTTGTTAGCAGCCTAGTGTAGTGAGCATCTTGATATAATAGAGGTCTAACTTACATGCAATGTAGGATCATGTCTCCAACATCACACAGTTCCTGCCCTGACCCCTCTTTAACTCTTAGTAATTCTTCCTTTGGCTCTGCATCGTTTGACTGTTGTCATCCTCAGGTTTTAAATGCCCTCAGTGCCTTTTATTCTAGTCCATTATCATTATCCATCAGGGGAGCTCCATCTCTCAGACACCTGGCAAGGCAAGTTTACTGATCTGATTTCCCTCAGATCTTGGCTCACTTATGACTTGTCAGATGATTCTGAACAAACGATGATTTGCTTTAAAGTTAGCTGCCATATTTAAGAGGCAACTCCGAGCCATCACTGTTACTCTTAGCTCTAGTTCCTTCTATGCCCTCACCTATTGTGATACTTTTGATTCCCATACCCACCTCCACTTGTAGTCCACCAGTTTTTTAAATGTTACTGCACAATAGAAAGAAATACATATGTATGCTTAAAGAAGTGAGTTCTTGAGATACCAGCCAGAAGAACTGCTCCAGTAGATGTCCCTCTTAAAAATGTAACACTACATTGTGCCACAGGTCCCTAACAAAGAAAAGACAGAGGAAAGAGCAAACTTCGCCCATTCCTGGGGCAAATGCTAGTCTCCTACGAGGAAAGAAACAACAGCTGTGGCAATTCCCAGCCTTTGCTGGGAAGGGACTCCTCCCCATGACCGGAATCTCCTTGAACCAGTCCCAAGCCCTTGCCATGGCATTTGTCCTAGCTCCACATTTTTGTTATTTATTTCAGAGCCCCACCTTCAAATCCTCTTATAAAAGGCGAGTCTTTTCTGACCTCACCTACCTTTGCAGATCCTTGTAATACAGGTAGGTCGGAGCTCTGAAAGCTGAGACCTGGGGCAAGGGTTTTACCTCATGCATTTTGGGGGAAGGTATATGAATATCCCTGTTCTCAGAAAAAACAAGATCTCTGAGACTCAACAAAGGTGGCCCTGGGAGGTCTCAGGGTGAGTAGGGTATAGAGATTCTCCTATTCTTGGCAGAACTACAGAATGGGATAGATGTCAGCAAGGTCAATTTATTCCTAGGAGACAAAGGAAAAGACAAGAGGAAGAATAGAGGGCTCTCTGCATGCACCCCCTCTGACCACACTTCTTTAATGATCTCTGATTTCTTCAAGTTATAGACATGATGCTGTTCTCCATGGCCCTCCCCAGCATGTCCTGGATGCTACTGTCCTGCCTGATGCTTCTATTTCAGGTGCAAGGTGAGATTTCACTGCCTCTAACACTGGGTTCCCTGTGAATGCTCAGGGCCAAGAGAAGGAGGAAGCCTCCTGTGTGATGCATCCTCACACAATGAAATTGCCTGCATTCCTCCATCATCACTCCTTCCTTTATGGTAGATAGCAGTGGGAGGTACCACCGTGGTCCATTAACAATGGAATGAGATCATTTCCATTTTGTCTGTGGACTGTAATTTACATTGGCAGGGTAAAGAGAGAAAGCATGAAGGGTCAGTAATGAGATAAGGGGAAGGAGAATGATTGGAGGAACCAGTGTGGGAACAGTGTGCTCTGAGTAGGGGAAGTGTTGGACTTTTGAATAAAGGGGAAGGGTTGAAAGAAAAGAGATGGCCCTTCATTTAATGGGGCTGGTTCAAGATCAAGTAATCCTGAAAGTGCTGGCAATGGTAAGAGGTAGTCAAGAATTTGGTGTCACTTTCACAAGTCCTGACCTCATAGACATTTCCTTAAGGTCACCTCCCAGTCCTAATGCTCATTATTCATTTTACTCCATCCTTCTCCCTTGTTTCCTTCCAATTCAGGTGAAGACTCTGAGAAGGAACTTCATTCTCCACGAATCACATGTCCTGCAGGCGCCAATGCCTATGGTTCCCACTGCTATGCCTTGTTTATGACACCAAAATCCTGGATAGAAGCAGATGTGAGTAGTTGCACTTGCATTTTGGAGTAAGAGGGGAATGTACATTTGAGACCAGAGGGAGAGAATATGGTCTCCACCTGCAGACTCTTTTGAGGGGGAGAATAAGCACCCTCATCTTTTGCACACACATCTTTTCTCACCTGCCTAAGCCCTGCCCTCCCCCAGTGATGTCTCAAGCTCCTCTCCTCAGCCTCTTCCTTCCCCACAGATTGCCTGCCAGAAGCGACCCTCAGGAAACCTTGCATCTATTCTCACTGGGGCTGAGGCATACTTCGTGGCCTCTATTATCAAGAGCAATGTGAACGTCAACTCAAATGTCTGGATTGGGCTCAATGACCCCACACAGGTTTGATAATATCTCTCTGTTACTTCTCTAGCTGCTATTGTTAACCAGGTCTACTTCCTGTCACCTGTGCCTGCCCAGGAAATACCTTAGAATGTCCCAGAGCTCAAAGATCTTGGGGGAAGTTTGGGGAAAGGGGAGGGCCTTGAGGTGAGCTGAAAAGATAAGTTTTGTAAAGGACCCTTATTTCCAGTTGAAGTTAATCTGCCCCTTGTCAAGCTTTTTACCTAATTCACACATGATGTCTTGTAATTCAGTTCTCTGAGCTTCACTGAGTCTACACATGCTGTGCTGAGGAACTCAAAATGAAGATAAGATGCCGTTTTCCCCTATACAACTAACATTGCCTTTAAGGTTCAGAGGGTAATCACAAATGCACCACCAATTTTTCTTCAGCCAGTAACACTACTCTGAGTGGTACCACTGGTCTTAGTGATTATCGGCTTTGGGATTTGCCGATAGGAATAAGGAGTTAGGGAGAGTTTCCCAGAGCAGAGTCTGTGGCAGCACGTGCATGAGCAGAACAAATTTCATGATGCTGAGGAAGGGATCAGATATCCAGCTAAGGGGGGGTTTTCAAGGACAACGTCAATGGCCATTCAACCTCACCTGGCTCCATCCTCTACTTTGTAGGGCTATGAACCCGATGCAAGTGGCTGGCAGTGGAGTAGTAATGATATTATGAATTACTTTGCCTGGGAGAGCGATCCATCCACGGTCTCAAACCCCGGCTACTGTGGGAGCCTGTCACGAAGCTCAGGTAAGAAATAGGGGAGCTACCTCCTGGCCAGCTTTTCAGTCCTCTCGTTCCCCATTTCTGGGCCTGACTTTCAGGGAATCCTCCAGAGATAGAAAAATGCAATGTTGGTTTGTCTTCTCCCACTCCCTGTCATCTCTCCTCTATTCTCTATTTGAGTCTCCTTCCCCTGGAGTAGGACCCTGGTAGAGAGGAGGGAGGGGCTTTGAATCTTAAGCCAGAGTCCGGGATTCCTCGGCTTTGGGTCACAAGCTCCACCAGCCCCACTCACTTTAGCTCTTCTGTCTCTCCAGGTTTTCTGTCATGGAAAGATTATAACTGTTACAAGAAGTTACCCTATGTCTGCAAGTTCAAGAACTAACTCAGGTGGGTGTCAACAGCCTGAGTTTCACATACAGAGTTCATCATGGATTTGAGACCAAGTGAGAAGACCCACCCAGGAAGATAATATCCTACATGCCAAACCTGACCATGTCATTCTGACCTTTCCACCTCCTCACCCTCATTTCAGGCTCCTCTCTGCATTACATAACCTGAGTTTTCAAAGAACAATAATAAAAAATTTAATGTGCAATTGCCTGTCTTGTGTGCTTCAGTTTCCTAGACAGACACTGAGAAGAAGAAAATGGATGGGCACGTGGGGGGGAGGGGGGGTGGATTCTGTGGGTCTTGTCTCAGCCCATGTGAAAATATCTAAATATACATCCTACCAGTATATTTGTGATGAGGTTTGTCAACTTCGCTCATGTAGGATTTAAGTTACATATGAAGACATTGCTCTACCAACACTCTACAGCCCACACATTCCCTAAAGGCCTGGTGGTATGACACAGCCAGCTTTTGGCCTAGCCTCTCATGATGCTTAGAACAGAACTTCCTAAACTTATTAGATGAAGTAACTGGTTTTATTTTTTTTATTCTCATTTTTAAATTAAAATGTTTCTAATCTATCATGAGATGATATCTGCAAAATAGAATAGAAATGAATAACTGCAAAAAAAAGTATAAAACAGATAATTAAAATACATATCTAAATTTCTGTGATTGGTTTTCACAGACATAAAAGTTATCTGTCAAATCACTACAAAATTTTCCAATATATTTTAATATCTGTACTTATAATGCCATGGTTGGCTGGCAAACTGAGTAGGAGCACCAGTCCACTGAACTACATGTTGCCCTGTCCTTTGAGGTCACTTGTGAGAATCAACTACAGCAGGTCCTCTGTCCTCAGGCTTTAAAACATTCTGGCCTCAGTCAGGTTGGAGTTGGGGTGACTTCAATGTCTGGCAGGATTTCTACTGATATTTTTTGAATAAAAAAAATGTTTTTTTTGAAAAAAAATTCTCTTACCTGAATGAAAGCAAGACCCAGAATTTTTATGTATCTGTATATTTCAAGACCACTACTTTGCTTTCCACCTTATCATTACCTCTCCCTGGCCACATGTTTCTATTGTGGGGAAAAAAAAATGTACCTGGCCAGTTCCCTGATCTGGAAAAGAAATTGTCATATGAGACCACTGACAAAATTATCCATATGGGCCAAGAACACTACAACATTGCCATGTGAGGGTATTGCTTCTCAAATAAATAGATGAGATGAATGGACAGAGTCATGTTTTCATTGATGATTGTTAAATTTCTTTTGATTTTTCTAAGATAGACTGCCTTGACTGAAAACTGACTTAGCATCTTTGGTGAAAACACTTTTCCATCAATTTAAATGAATTTATGGTTTTGCAATGCCAATGGGTCTTGATTTTCTGCCCTGGTTAATGTTATAAAATAGGTTAGAAATGTTCACAGTGATTGTGCTTGTACCAGTTACTCTTTTAGTTTGAATTCTCCCTTTCATGGCAGGTGAGCTGGGGGGGCCATATCCTGTTCTCGTTGTAGAACCCCATTGTATGAGACAGGACATTTGTAATTGTAAGTAAGAAAGATTCCAACATAATTTGGCTTGTAGAAGTAAAGGTATTTACTGGATCACGTAACTAAAAAATCTAATAGGAAGGTAGGTTTTGAGCTCAGTTCAATCAGGGCTCAAATGTCACTTATCTGGGGTTCTCTTGTCTGTGCTCTCTTTTATCTGTATGCTTTATCCCTCTACAGGCTTCTGTTTACAGCTCACGATCGTTGCCAGTAGCAGCTGGGGCTACTGATTCTTCTGCAATAGCAGAATCGCAAACAATCGTGAACATTTTAAATAATTGATTTAAAAGAATATTTATTCCCCTCTTTCCTAAAATGAAAATTAAAAATAATGTAGACATTCAACAAACCAGGGATGTTTAAAAAATTGAGTCACAACTATTGAATTGAACATTAACCTTTATAAATTACACTGAAATGTTTTGTTTCGTTAAATTTTAAAGTGTTCATGTGAGAAGTGGAGACAAAAAAAGGGCCTCCTTTTTCTTCCCCTCACTAACCGTGTACCTTGAGTGCTTTTGTCAGACTAAATGGGGGAAGATTTGTCATCACAGAACCTGAGAGAAGGGAAGAGCCAAAATCAAAGCCTAGCAAGTGAGCAGAGCAAACCCAGGACAGTGAGAAAGAACACGGGTGCTGTGAGCTCAGAGAGGCTCCGGTGTGCAGTGAGGCTCTTCCAGAAACAGGCTGGCACTTCCCAGCATAAGGTATCCTCTCCACAGTCAGTACCAACTTTCCGTCAGGCAAAAGCGGAGTTTTATCATTCTCTGGGTGCTGCCAGGTGCCCAGTTCTTATTCCTGAGAGGCAGAGGGAGTGAGAAGAGATCTAGTAGAGGCTGCAAAACAAGAGCAACCAAGTGGTCCAGAAGGGAATTCAGGGAGTCAGGACGGGGAACGATGAAGATATTTAGGGAGAGATCCATGGACGAGAGAGGCAGAAAAGAGTCAACAGAGCATCCCTCCTGCTAACAGTCCATTCCATCTCCTGATTTTTCCCTTTCCCCCAAACTCATGAAAATGACCAGTACTTACCTAGGTAGCATCTAATGGTAGCAGGTGAAAAAAAGATGATAATTCTTCCAATTGAATCCAGCTGTAAGTATTTCCTGACAATCTGACCTCAGGGTAAAAATTCTATCAATAAGTTTATATCTCATTATTTTAAATTAAAAACAACATATGATATGGTACGTGTCCACCCCAACCTCACAATCTCTAAAACACATAAACACCCATATATAAATAGCCAACTCTCATGTTCAAATGGAGAATTCTTTAAAACTTGACTTTCTGATTGGCAATTAGTGTGTTTGTTAAAAACTTTTTTTCTTTGTATGAAGTGCTACGACTCAATGGTGCCTCTCACACCACCAACATCTTCCCATTTGTTGACATTTAGTGTTCTTTGCAAAGAACATGTAATTCTCATCTTTTATCAGTTATGTTTGGGATGTAACTTGAAACTTAGCCCACTTGTAATTTTATAAAAAGATTTTTGTTGAGATTTGGGAATGCATATGTAAATTTTTCTTATATAAACTTTGGCTGAAAAATGTTGTACTGAGGGAGACACACATTGTGTGGAGTTTGGTTAATTAAAAAAACCAAGAGGTGTTTTATCAAGAAAATGTTAACTAGAGATGCCGTCTGCAAAATATTCCTGTAATATCTTAAATGCTACTCAGAATTTATCATGGGATGATACAAGTTTTCTAGTTGTATAATGCCCTGTGCACATTTATTCTTCAATTCCTTCCTTGTAAGGATTGTCGAATGCTCAGTATCTCTCTACCGCCAACTTCCCACAGGTCTTTACCCAGATTCTTAAACTTATACAAATCATCCTTTTCTTAAAATCATTGATTATCACAAGTGAAAAGAACCCTCTTGTCTTTTCTTTTTTCTTTCTTTCTTTTTTTCTTTTTTGAGTAAGAAAAGAAGTTTCAGAGAATTTAAGAAACAATTCTCCATGTGGTTTTGATGTTTCTGCACTTCTTGCAAGCAGAGGCACTGGGCCTTTAAAAAGGGAAATCAAATCTCTCTCCAAAGCAAAGGCTTATTTGCAGTTTTGGAAAACATAGTATTTCCATTCAGAGTGCAGAAATAAGGTATGCCTACTCCCCATTACAGTAAAGATGTCTTCCTCTAGAATAAAGGGCAGGTGTGCTTACTGCCCATTATAAAGAATCAGGTTTCCTAAGCTCCTATAGCATATTTATTGGGCATCTTCCTCCCCTATCACATAACCCACTGCATGTGAAGGCACCTGTGTGGGCCCATGTATGTCCCCCATGGGACACGGGAGTGGAGAGAAACGGGCTGAAGTTCTATACAAGTGGAGGCTGTTTGGGAGAGTGGGGGAGAATGGCCATATAGGAGCAGGCACGTGCAAAGTCACAGAGGAAATTTCTCAGGTCTCAAGTCCTTTAAGCACTTTCATATAAAAAAATAGGAAAATAATATCCATTATACAAGTTTGAGAGAGGTCCATCTCAGGGAGGCATAAATGGCACAAAAGTCCAGGCTTTGTGGAATTCTAATGAACCCCAATAGCCCTTGACCTTATATAATATCCCCCCTTGAATGTGAAGAAAGCCTATAAACATGATGAGATATCTACCCTTAAATTATGTTATGTTATATGGCAGAAGGGATTCTTGAAGATATATTCAGTCGACTGTGAGTTGATAAAAAGGGAGGTTTCTGGGAAATTACTAAAGTGGGCCCAATGTAATCACACAAGCCATTTAAAAGCTGTTTTCTCTGATTGGCAGCATAAGGGGAAGCCAAGAAATTCAAAGCACCAAAAAGATTCACTGTGCCGTTGCTGGCTAGGAAGATAGAGGCAGCCTTGGGTCAAGGTCTGCAAACAAGAGTGGTGCCTCAACTGACAGTCAGGAAGGAAAAGGGGACTTCAGTCTCACAACTGCAAGGAACTAAATTTTGCCAATAACGTGAATGAGAGTAGTAGGTAGTATTTCACGCAGCAAAAGTAAACTAATTCCATGAGTTTCCACTGAATGAAATATGTGGGGCTGAGGCTGGAATCCCTGCTGTGACTCATAATGGCCTTATCTATAGATCAAGGACCCTGGGCTTATTAGATGGTAATGAACAGACCTTAATCTATCTGGCAGATCTAAAGCCTATAACTTGATTGAGCTTAAAATGTGCTCAGTAGAGGAAGAAAGAGCAGCTTGGGCTTTCAGGCTACTTGTGAGATGGTCAAAGTGCAAATCAAGAAGTGGTTTAAAGGAAAAACTGAGGGTTGCTAGTTGGGAGGGGGTGGGAATGAAGGAGAAGGGGAAGGGATGAGACAATACAAATTGGTAACTACAATATGGCCTCAGGGATAGAAAAGACAGTCT